TAGTTGCCAGTTGGAATATTGACCAATTGCTTCGTACAGGATGTCGGGGATTAGTTTTATTATAGATATAATTACGAATAAGTTACTCGCAAAACCAAAATGCACATAATTATTGGCTAATATCAGAGATCGGTGGCCAGTAATGATTTTCTTGAAGAATTGGAATGCAGTTAAAATGTCCAATCCATTTATACTGTAATKAGTGCTATGAAATATTTTAAGAATTAGTTTTAATTAAATGTGTTTTAAAATTAATTAAATAAAACAAATCACATAATTTTATGTTATTCTAGAATTGGCGCAGTAGTCCTGGGCATAATGTAAATCGAAAAACACCATAATAAAAGCCCATTACAATAAATAGTTTACGTGAATGCGTGAAAAAATGCGATGCACAGTTATTTATAATGGCCGTATTGTGTTTTATAGGTATTATCTGCAGTTTCATATATTATAGCAATATCAAGTGTCGCTTATAAACGKATAGAAACGTATGAATTGTAGTGTTATGAAGTTATATCGTTTATATATTGAGATCAATGGTACCTAGTAAAAACAGKATGGAAATAGATGGACTGCAGTGTGCACATCGGTGTTGAGTCAGTTGGGAAAAATTAAAAAGTTAATAATAATTGTTTACTTTCATCGGTCATTACGTTTTTTTTACGTCTGGTTAATTTTGTTTCAGTTGACCGTCCTCCATGRACACTGAATTTAACTGTACAACTTTAATAATGTGTATACAAAATAAATATCATGTATAATGTATAAACATAATGGTTGTTTAAATATTTTCATAAAGATTAAACTTTTTTTTATAGTCCTAAAAGTGTATGTCCTAAACGTCGTAATCACCACAAGTATATCAATAACAATTTATTATATAATAATTATAACCACCAAGCATTTAATGTGTTAACATAATGACTTAGATGTTCAATATTCATACGGTCCAATTACTATATACATTAATTGCGTATACTATTTATATAATTTATCATAACGTATAAGTATAATGAATGTTTAAATATTTTCACAAAGATTACATTTTTTATCATAGTTCTAAAACTGTATCAATAATAATATATATATATATAATAATTACAACCATGCATTTAATGTGTTAACGTAACTTAGGTATTTAATATTCATAAGGTTTGACTATTACTATACATTGATCGCGTATATCATGTATACAAGAACATACATATAAACCTGGGGGGGAGGTGCCAAAGTAAAAAATCTCTGATAAATGATAATGCAGCACATATAAGTTTTTTTAATAAGTGATGATGATGAAACATTCATATTACTAAAAAATAGGAAGGTGCATAACCTCYWTTTCCCTCTATGTGGATACCCATGCATTTATCCAATATACATAAAAAATATAAAGATTTGGCATGAAAAGATGGAAATAGTAATTTATTCTAAGATTTACACATTACATTTAAAAAACCAACACTTTAATATTATTATTTATTACTGTTGAAATCGATTAATTTGTTCTTCTATACAAATTAATAAAAACGTATGAGATTATAGCTTAAATTTCAAAATTAAATAGTAACAATATACTCAATATAATTATAAAATAAATATAAAAAGTTTTGATTTCAAAGTTGAACTATACAGTATACAGGGTGTTTAATGTGTATTAACTATTAAGATTTACTAACGTCAACTGTATACCTACTTATTAAAAAAATTAATGTCATCGCAGAATTCTGTTTAAATCAAATACAACCAAATAAAAG